ACATGAATTTTTTAACATTCCTTGTATTGGTCAAACAGTCTCTTTTAAGTTGTTATTTGAGATAAGTGCTGGATAGATACATATTATTCTGAATTCTCTGGTCAGTTTGACAGTTTTATTGGACCTGGTGAGGGATGTGTCTCTGTTTAGTGTGTGTGTGTGTTATTTGGTTCTTAGGGAGTGAGTGAGTATGATATGTGTAAGCGTGTGTATTGCTGTAGGTTATCATTTGGCTCATTATATATATTGGAACACATAAATTTTAAATTTCAACATTCCTGAAATATATATATATATATATATATATATATATATATATATATATATATATATATATATATTTCAGGAATGTTGAAAGATTCTTTATTCAACCAAGTAAGAATTTCAAAATGTTCTGTTGTCTGATTTTGGGCCAGATTTTTCAAAATGGATACTTAAACTTTCTGCTGTAGGCATTCATATTGCACATAAGGTGCAGAAGTAAGTCTGCCAAAATTTGACCAAACATTATTTATCCGAAATGGCTTCATCAATATTTACCAACTGTTTGCACAGCGGCTTACAAAACGAACTCTCCAGAAAGAATTGCGGCAAAGAGCTGTTGGGTGATCTTCATATTTCAAAATTTTTATAGTAGTCCAGCGCATAGGATAGATAGATAGATAGATAGATAGATAGATAGATAGATAGATAGATAGATAGATAGATAGAAGGACAAATTGAAATAGATAGATAGATAGATAGATAGATAGATAGATAGAAGGACAAATTGAAATAGATAGATAGATAGATAGATAGATAGATAGATAGATAGATAGAAGGACAAACAAATTGAAATAGACAAAGAAATAGATAGATAGATAGAGAGATAAGGACAAATTGAAATAATAGATAGATAGATAGATAGATAGATAGATAGATAGATAGAAGGACAAATAGATAGATAGATAGATAGATAGAAGGACAAATTGAAATAGATAGATAGAGAGATAGATAGATAGAAGGACAAATTGAAATAGATAGATAGATAGATAGATAGATAGATAGATAGATAGATAGAAGGACAAATTTAGATAGATAGATAGATAGATAGATAGAAGGACAAATTTAGATAGATAGATAGATAGATAGATAGAAGGACAAATTGAAATAGATAGATAGATAGATAGATAGATAGATAGAAGGACAAATATAGATAGATAGATAGATAGATAGATAGATAGAAGGACAAATTTAGATAGATAGATAGATAGATAGATAGATATGGACAGACTGAAAGAGATAAATTGAAATAGATAGAAGAGAGAGAGTTATGAAAGAGAGAGTGAGAGAGATAACGACGGATTGAAAAAGATAGATTGAGGGAGAGAGAGTTATAAGGAAAGATTGAAATAGATAGATAGATAGATAGATAGATAGATAGATAGATAGATAGATAGATAGATAGATAGATAGATATGGACAGACTGAAAGCGATAAATTGAAATAGATAGATTACCTGGTCACTGACTGTGATCGCCCCACTGCAGACCGATAACGTATCGAGATTCGAACCTATGTACAGAATGGGTTCCCTCAGTAGGTTGCCATTTCTTTCTGAGGTAGACCATTTGCCATATATGGGGTGGGTGGAGTAGAGGATTCATACCAAGGATGCTAATACCGCGTAAGTGAATGTAATGGATTCAACTGAAATTCGAACTCGGCTCGCCGATTTCTCCATTACTCCATCGGGCATTACTTTAAAGGTTATTAATTAATTATATGTATATACATATATATATATGTATAAATTAATTATATATATATATATATATATATATATATATATATATATATATATATATATATATATATACCCACATTTCTCACCCACACGACAGACATGCTTACGGAGGTGTTGAGGCCTCACACTTATACACACACCCGCACGAATATACACACACACATCATTCTCACTCACTCCCTAATGAACCAAATGCTAACACACACCCAGAATAATACACACGTTTACACACATCATACTCACTCACTCTCTAAGAACCAAATAACACACACACACTTAACAGAGACACATCCCCTTTCCAGGAACCAATAAAACTGTCAAACTGACCAAGGGAATTCAGAGCAGCATGAATCCACCCATCTCTTATCTTAAATAACAACTTAAACGAGACTGTTTGACCACACAAGGACTGACCAAAATTCATGTTAAAAAGATTAAAAAAAACAAATGAAAGCTACAGACATTCATTTCTGCAGTTCACTGATACCAGCATGCAGATTTTTTTTTCTCCTGATGATGGCCATGTTGGCCGAAACTAGTCGAGGAATCTAAATGAAATAATAGTAAAAACGTAAAGAATATTAATATACAATGCAGTGTTTTTGAAGATTTTAATTGTTCAATATTTTTTATTGTTCAATATATATATATATATATATATGTAAAGAATTAATTTATTTTTATCTATTAATTCGACATTTCTGGGCCTGATTT